CCCCCATTGCTTCAAATCCCCCAATCTGGCATTAGTGTTGTGTGTTAACTGTATAAACTGTGTGGTGAATAAAGTACTGTCAAGCGTGAACTGGCATATAATTTTGAACCCCACCGCGACACGTAACACCATGTATGAACAATTTCTACGTACGCCCTATTTTATTTTATACATATAAATGTATATATTTGGAGCTTGCTTCTCAAGATTCTAAATCTATTGAACCGATTTTCACGCGGATTTTAAAATTAGTAAGATGATTTTCCACCTAAAGTTTGTATGTATACTTAATACAAGTCTGAGAACCATAACTATACTTAGTATACATAGAAGCTGGTCACTAGCAGTTTATAAAAAGATTAGTATTTGTTTTCTAATTAAAAAAAATAATAATAATGCAGTTGAGTCGAATTTTGGGGTTCCTTCTACTTGGCAAAATCTTGTTGCTCCGAAATTCATTTGGCATAACACATGTGGCATAATCTTTTTTAAACGTTTATTTTTAAGCCATTTGTTATTGCAAATGTATTTTTTTGTTTAGCCGAATGTTCATATGTGGGTGAGGCCGAGAATGTTGCCACATTTCATGTCCACCAAAGAAACCTTCTTGTTTCTATAGAAAGTTACTAAATAGGGATTTAATGGATTTTTTTGTAAAACTATGCTGTCCTTATTCAGCATGGCCAACGCCTCATGTCAAAGTCTCAATATTGTGGTACACAAACATATAAATTAAATATTTCCATTGAAAAATTAAAAAAAAATGTGTAAGTGAGGCCGCGCACCAGAGATACATTTGTATTACAGTAATTGTGACGCCACATTTGAAACGCGACATATTTATCGCCCCCCTATACTTGTATGTGAGCCCGCACAACAAGGACACATTTGTAGTAAGTGCAGTTTGTGGCGAGAGGTTTGCCACGCCACACGAATTAAAGATCAAACACGTTCGTTTTATGTGGTGTCAAAATGAAAGACAACATTGAATTTTATGTGGAGTTTATCGCAGAACTTGACAAAAACCCTATTCTATATAATCACACACTCAATGACTATAGTAACAGACGAATGACAGAAATTATTATTCTAAGATTTTAAAATTTCCGGAAATTGTACAATTTTGATTGAACGGATGAACACAAAAACGTCTTTTTTTCTCATTAATCATATTCTCATCATAAAATCGTCGTCGTCAGAAGATGATGTAGACATTCTGTTGCTAGTACCACGCTAAAACTGTGCTTCCGATGTGCGCATACACAATGTAATGTAATTTGTCGCCGCGTAAATTGTGGCGCAATAATTGTGGTGCCGTAAATGTATGTTGCGTGTAGCGTGTGGCGCCGGTGTGCGGCCTCACTAAAACCACTGTGCTTTTTATTACCTTGCTTACTTTGAGGCTAATTTAAAATTTAGTCATTGCTAATTACTGGTCAATTATTAATCCTACAGTAAAAGAATATAAATCTTCGCAGACTAAGTGTATTGCTTGTAAACTCAGGCTTTCTAATATTGATATTCTACTAATTGTTTAATGTTAAGCGATATCATTTCATTGCGCAACTTTTGTTGCGCAACCAATATTTAATTACAGTTTTCGTCATATTTTGTAAACTTATGTTATTTTGTAACGGCAACGCCAATGCGTCTTGTGTATGGAAGCTAACATGATAGGAGCCATATTGAAGGAATAATGATGTCAAAATTGTGGTGAAGTGAAGGGGTCACTGTTTTCATGAGCAAGTTTTTTCGTTTAAGACAAGCTTGAGATTTTTACAAAAATTTAAACTGCGCATGATTCTTGATAACGCGGGAGATTTTATAGCGCTTACTTTTATAGAAATTATAATGTAAATTGTGGGGTAACGCTTGTATACTTTTGCGCATTTTTACTTTTGCGCTACTTTTTCGTCACTATTGCGAGACCAGTTGCGAAATTATTGCGTGACTACTACTGCTCTCCCAAAACAAGATCGGGGTACACTAGTTTCAGAAGCGTTGCAGTTTTTTTATGTATTTTGTTCTTTTTTAAATGATTTTGGAAGTATTTACGTGTTTCATTGAATGCTTTCATAAAACATTAGTTTTTCGTTAAGTTCATGTGCCAATTTTTTGTTTTTAATAGTTGATTTATGTTTATATGAATTATTACATCGTTAAAATTGTAATTTATTTTAATTTTTCACCTTATACACACACTCTATACCTACCTTTAAGTAACTACTTAAAAATGCTTTAGTAAGAATTTTATTTTTGTCAGGCTTGGTATACTCCAACCTTAATAATTTTGCATGACTATTTTTTTACGTCACCGTCGCGCAATATTTTTCGTCACTACTGCGTCACTAGTGCCAAAATTCGTGGCCTCACCCATGTCCGAATACAATGTCATACTTTCAAGATGGCAGAATTTTATTGGGCATATTTTCCTTAGGCAAAATTTAAACCTGCATGCTTTATGCATAAAAAATATATTATTAATACTGATAGATTGGGTGTTTGTGGTCAGTGGGTTAGGTTAAGAAAGTGTGATGACCTAAACTTAGCACGAGCCGGCAAAGCGCCAGTCACCTGTTTAATAATAGACAAAAAAAACCGGCCAAGTACATGTCGTGCCACGTGCAGTGTAAGGTTACGTAGTGGGAACGGACAGACAGACGGAAATGACGAAACTATAAGGGTTCCTTCTGTAAGGGGTTCGGAGAGACAATTCTGATTGTGAACTTTTTGCGATATGATGGTTCCACTTTTTAATTATTGAGAATATTAAATTTATACCTAAAGACGATTTTGGCTTACAAAATTATGAGTTTAGAATGTCTGATAAATGAGTGAATGAAATAAAATGAAGATAATGCCATCCGCTGAAATGCATAATAATGTTACTACTAACATTAAAAGTTCTGCGATACAAGGTAGACCCATAAATTTTAATAAGGCACTTAAAATTTTTACAGACACGGAATATACACATGGTACAGATTCATTTGATTGAACCTGATTTGACCTGTTGAATATGAGTATGGTTAGTACCATTATCAGCAAATGAAAGTGTTGTAACGCGGGCTTTTGCACTGTTAGTAAGAATTATTCGACCATAAAATATGTGTAGCTTATCCCACAGCTGTAATGTACGTACATAAACGTGTTTAACGCTCGCCCAAGATTAATGAGCTTTGAAACGAGCAAGCTTTCCCGCGCTGAAGATTGCGTGGTATGTGAGTATGTATGTACTAGGGAAATCTTATATTGCTTTATATTAATTTGCATGCAGTCAAAATTATAACATAAGATAAGGAGATAAGCTAAGCTAAACGTAACATATTAATGAATTTACAAGAAAGTTAAGAACATTACGGTACATAAAATACAATAGCTTATTGTCATTAGAAATTTGCCTAAACATGCTTCAAACCTAGCTGCCTAACTTTTTTTGTGGTACACTCTCTTTAGTTCCTTCAATAGACAGATACAAAAAGAATCTACGTCATTAAAATTAAGAAATAATTTGAATCTTAATTTTACTTTAAATGTAATTAAGACTTAGGTTAAAAATTAAGAATTATTTCTTTATTTAATGTAGTTTTGTTTGATGAAGTCGGTTTTATTTGAGTGATTAAGTTTTTGTTTTCTTCTATTTTATATGTCAGAGCAACATTAAATTAAGTTTAGATACTTTGCTAGCTATTCAATAACCTCATGTAACTGTTATTCAACTTCTGGATCTTCACTTTCAACTTTACTTCACTCATAGAGCAACACGGCTGACGCGGTCAGGAGGGGAGAAAGCATCTCCAGCTTCCCCTCTGTCGAACTGGCCATACAAATTGGGTATACACGATATATGTGTGCAAGGTTTGGCGATGTATTGTATCATTGTTTGTATGTAAAACTGCATTTGTGTGCGTATTCGCCCCCACAAAAATGACAGAATGATTTGATAGTAGGTATTATTATGTCGCCATGGCTACTCCCTTCCGAGTTGTTCTATGACTTTACTATGTGGTAAAGTTATAGAACAACACAGAAGGGAGTAGAGTAGAGGAAGGACGCGTCAATCTAAATATCACCGCTTGGGCCGCCGCTTCATGCCAAAAACATATAAGGTACAAAAGTTTTACAGCTGTTAAATTTATGCGACAAAGTACTGGATTTTTTTTTCATATTTATTATTGATTAGTTCCAGTGGCCATCTGTGGTCTCCATTATCAATTCCGCTTTACCCGATGGGGCTACCCGAGTATAAAGTTTTTATTATTAAAAAAAAAAACTGATTACCGTATAATCATATAATAAATTTTGTAGCATGGAAAGGTAAGAGGATTGCTATAAATTATCTTGATAATCATGTAATGACTTACTTGTGTTAACACAAACACAAATGTTTGGTCTAATGCTGGTGCCACACTAACGACGCGAATATTTGCGTTGTCGTGATACCTATGCCTGAACAAGTCATTCGTCCTATCGCGATTATGAAAATTATGTGCAAACCGCTCGATGTCTCGTCACCAAGTGGTCTCTGTCAATAAAGCGCTCGAAGTGTAGCCAACCGCATGATTTTTTTCGGCATAAAAACCTTTCATGTGCATCAATTTACAAACGACTTGCTTGGCGAGTCATATTGCGCCAACGAAAATCTTCGCGTTAGGCATCTCGATAGTGTGACCCTAGCATTCATGACTTAAAACAACACGGACGCGGTCCGTACGTTGCTCTATGCTAAATAACATGGACATTACACTAAGACAGATGGCTCAGCAGTTTTACCTGTCACACCAGAACTTGATTCGACTTTTGGAGCTACAAAGTTAAGTGAAGTTAAGTTTGTTCTTACAGAATAGCTGAATAGCACTGCAGCAGGCATCCTCACCTTGCGGCCCTCAAGGTGATTCTTTCCGCATCTTTAAAGGATCGTTTTTAAGAATCCGGGTTGTAGGATGGAGGGGGCAGTATAGAGGGTACATGCGTACAGTATTATAAAGTTTTAGACTCACCTGTGACTGCGACTGTTGGTTTTTAATCAGAGAGCCTCGTCGCGCCGAGGGCCGCCTGTGCATGGAGGGTGCGGTGATGGAGGCGCGCCGCGTCACGTCGCCCGCCACCATTGTGCTAACTCACTCCACAACACTGCATACAACACGACACGTTTAAACGCACTCCACTTACTAATAAAATAGACAAATATGCCGATTAAAAACCACTTTTGATTTCAGTAAATATCAGTTTAAACAACTTTTCCTTTCAACGCTTTCAAGCGGTAAATTGTACGGTTGGACTGTGATGATGTTTCGTGATTTTCTATGATTTACGTTCTTCTCGAATATAATAGTCGAGAAGAACGTAAATTACAAACATAAATTAAACAAGAATATTATTAACGGAAAAACAGAATATTTTTGTTTTTCCGTTTTTACTGTTGGCGTTTTACTTGCTAAGTAATGGCCTCATGAAATATAACTCGTGTACAAAGAAAATGAGTGATGATATTTAAGTATTTTTTTTTATATAACCGGCGTTTATTGTATATATTTATCGTTATATAAAACCCAAGTCGGTAGGCTGACGGGTTGGTTGAATCGATCCCTGGGATGGCTGCTGCCTCATAAATAGAAAGTGCAACAGATGTAAATGTCGCGAATCTCTTTCAAAGCCGGCCGGGAGGTTTATTTTTAGGCCTAGAACGGTCACTTGTTAATAGATAGAATGGAAGGTCATTTCAAGCAGACAAAAAACATAAATATTATTAATATCCATTAGGCAGTTTCTTTAGATACCCGACGGTGAGACGTGACATGTGACAATCTATTGCTCTAGCTTTATTCATTTAATTTTTAGACTGAATAGCGAATAGATCTTCTGTGTTACTTTTGAGTTTACTGAAACAGTTTCGTGCTAAATATAAATGACTAAAATCATTCCGATCAGACGTTGCGTGCACTCTCGAATTTAACGCACCAGTCAAATATATTTTTTTATACATACAACTGAGTTATTTTCCATTATTCGCTTTTTTATGGTTCTTGAGCAATTTACTGCCGAGGCCGTGACAGTAAAAACCAGAGTTGCGCTAGGAATATAGTTCTTCTGTCTATGTAATAAGGACGCTGTATGTCAAATTATATCAACGTGAGGCACCTTACGTTGATACAATTTGACATGATTTTAATTAATTATGATGAAACAAATGCAAATGTCATTCTTTCCCAATACTATCGTGATAAATATACACTTAATCACAATAGGGTATTTGATAAGTTTTAGAAAACGTTCTCACGTTATTGACTAATGTTTATGGAGTCCGTAAAAAGTGGATATTCATCATTCTGATGTATATTTCAGTAAAAATTACCAAATCAAAAACTCCATTTTCAAGTTGCCGGGAAAAAGTTTTTCTGTACAATATGGCGTCTTACTAGTGTGTGATGTCACACGACTGTTATTAAAACGTCAAACGATATAATGAAATGTCACTTTAACCGGAAGTTTACTTGCGTGTGACGTCAGTTTAGGCTCCGCCAATCCCAAGCGTTTTGGGTCACGTGACAATGGATAAGAAAACTATTATCTTTTTCGTGGGTTTTTAGTAAAATTATGATTTCTTTTTTGTAAAAATAGTAAAAACTCCTGCCAATATTCATTCTAAACACAGAGGCTAACAATTAGCACTTTATTTTTAATACTGTCAAATACCCTATACAGTCGAATTAAAAAGTCACTCGAAAAAATTTGCTATATTTTCTAATTCAGTTTGCTAGAGTTCATAAAACTCTTACCCTAATGTCTGATATTTGTATTTACTAATTTTATAAATACCAACTACATAGTAAGATTAAGGGCACGAAAAATGCTCAATATAAAAAAGTGGTCAATTTTTATTCTTTTGTGATACTTATACATATAATTTGGTCAGCTGGAGGCACCACCACCTACGTACTCATGTATTCATTATAATAATACTAAATACTTCATCAGTTAACATCCTTTAATTAATTGAGAGCTCTTACAATATTTCGTACATACAGACTACGTTTGAACATATTAATCATTAATAATTAGACTCCAATACAACCAACGTGATTTATTTACCGTTTTATGCTCGATATTAATAACGAAAACGGGTTACATGCTTGAATTATTCACAGAATAAATAATTAAATTAGTATATTTACTTTCGAAATAAAGAATTAAATTAAACTTGACTGTTATGATAAATATATAGACACTGCTGAGGATAACATCAAAAAAAATGGTAAGAAATTTTGGTCATTTGTAAAGTCTAAAAAGAATTCGGGTGAAATGAAATACCTAAAACGGTATTCTTGAATGATGTGCAATGCACGAAGGTTAGTGATGTGTGCAATTTATTTAGTACATATTTTCAGTCTGTATTTGAGTTTAACCAAGGGCAGAATATTTCATCTCATACTTCAACAGGTAGTTGTAGTAGTATCTCAATGGGCTCTGTTGACATCCGTAAATCCTTAGTTGAAAGACTTTTAAAAACTCTTGATGTCACAAAGGATTGTGGACCGGATGGTGTACCAGCAGTATTTTTAAAAAAAATGCTGGAAATCTCTCTCTGGCCCCTTAACCTTTCTTTTTCGTCTATCTTTATGTAGTGGTTCTTTTCCTGTCGATTGGAAGCGGTCTCATATTGTACCCGTACATAAATCCGGTGATAGGCATAATGTTCAAAACTATAGAGGTATTTCCAAAATTAGTATAATCCCGAAGTTATTTGAAAAGTGTGTTTATGATATAATTTATCCCTTACTACGTCCTTTTATTATTGAACAGCAGCACGGCTTTGTAGGTAAAAAATCTACTGAAACTAATCTTTATGAGTTTGTGCATAAGGTAGCTTCTTCAATGGATCAATCCTACCAGGTAGATGCTGTGTATACCGATTATCCAAAGCATTTGACAAAATTCCACATGATCTATTAATTATGAAACTTGGCGAAATTGGTATACATGGTGATCTACTTCGGTGGCTGAAATCTTATCTTAGAGAGCCGTCAAGCCGTCGTTATTAAGGGCTTTTGCTCATCTTTCGTCCCTGTTACATCTGGTGTTCCACAGGGTTCGCACCTTGGTCCTTTATGTTTTAATTTATTTATCAACGACATCAACACACTGTTTAATCATTCGTGTTTCATACTTTACGCGGATGACATGAAAATATATAAAACTATTAAAAGTTATTCTGACTGTTTATTACTACAACAAGATTTAAATAATTTGGTTACTTATTGCAATAATAATTGCTTATATCTGAACGTAAGTAAATGTTGTGTTATAAGATTTACTAGAAAGAAAAAATCAAAAATATTATATAATTATCAACTAACTGATCAGTCCTTGAATCGTGTTACTTTAGTTAGGGACCTGGGAGTAATTCTGGACAGCATTATAACATACATACATACATAATAACATTGAAAATATAACTTCTAAAGCTTATCGAATGCTAGGTTTTGTTCTAAGGGTTAGCAAAGACTTTAAAAGATGTTCCACTTTAATTCTATTATTTAACTCCTTAGTTAGATCTATTTTGGAATACGCATCGATTATTTGAAATCCTCAATATAAATATTTTATTGACATGTTAGAGAGAATACATAAAAAGTTTTTTAAACACATTTCATTTAGGTGTTAGCATTGTAAAGTAAATAATGAAACGATTCTCAAATATAGTTTGAGTAATCGTCGCTGCGTCAGGGATCAGATCTTCCTGTTTAAAATCTTAAATGATATGGTTGATTTTCCTTTTCTTTTGAGTAACATTCGATTTAAGTGTTCCCGTATAAACTCAAGGTCTAAAAGCCTGTTTAGTGTTCCTTTTGTTAAGACAAAATATACTTCTAACACATTTTTGTACCGAGCATATAATTGAATGAATGAACTGTTATTATTAAAATTTATTTATTTATCAATTTGAATTGTGTAAACTCTGTTGCTTTGTTTGTTTTTTATTTCATTTCAATTAATGTCGTATTTAATTTAACTTTATATGATTTTTTATTAAATACACAGCTGCTCATAACTGTACTAATTGTTATTGGAAACTTTGTTGATGTATGTTAATTTATATTTAATTTATCTAAATGTAATAAAATATTGTTTGTTTCCCAAATAAAAATAAAATAAAATAAATTAAAATAAATATTTAAAGCTAAGGATATTTATGCCGTTTTGTGCTTGATATTTTAATATAAGTAGTATTTAATAAAATAGAAACCTCGCACTTGTCGTTTTTTAATAAAAAAATGCGATCGTTGGAAAACCTGATATTGGGGTTGAAGACGCTTTATCTGGAATGAAGTCCATATTGATAGAAAAATGTATATACTATTGAATCAATTCAATAGTATACATTTTTCTAACAATATGTAAGGCTCAAGCCTTCAGCGTTGAAATTGCCGTTATACTTACAAATTACTGGACAAACGATGTAACAATATGAAACACTCCGAAATTGCTAAAGTTTTAGCAGCATGTTTGTCATTGAAAGATCGGTGTGTTTGGGGGGTGCAATAATTTTACCATATACAGATTTCCGCCAAACAGTGACAGTTATTCCAAGATCTACTACTGCCAATGAAAGAAAGGCTTGCTTCAAATATGTTATCGAATTTGTAGCGTTATGTCTATGAAATGAATTTCCAGCTGGCAGCAAATATGAGAGTGACATTACTGAACTATCAATCTGCAGAAGACGTCCCTACACAATTACTAACTGCATGTTAAGACAGCTTTTATTTCATCCAAATTATTGTAATTTATTCAAAAAGATATATCCAAAATTTAGTGCATTCTTTAGGAAGTCATGCATGCGCATACATACTTTTCGGTGATTAATTTTTATTTACAATAATAGATTATCTATCCTAATTTATAGGAAGGAATTTTTTATTTCGTTTTTATAACTTTAAATTAAACCAAAAGTTAGAGTTATCTCTTACCGTTCACCAGATCAGCTAACTTCTGCAACACAGTTTTTGTTAAACTACAGCAGAATTAACGTTTCATAATTTTATGTACATTAATCACACTTGTTCCAAAATAAAGTTATTATTATTACCTAGTAAAATATTTAATTTATGACTTATAAACAGCATTGTCCT